CACCTAGGCCCCACGCCTAGGGCGCGCCGGAGGCCAGCGCCGGCCCAGGAAACCCAGGACTCAAGCCAAATGAAAAGTCACTTTGTCCCCCACGCCGTGCTCGGTCCGCCTCCCTCTAATGGCATTAGGAGCCGCCGCCACCGAGGCGCTCCGGGGGCGCAGAAGTCCCCTATGGCTTTGATCTGCGCCTCTCGGCTGCCGAGAGCTGACAGTCGGCTGCGCGGCCGCCCGGCTTTCATTTGTCAGACACGCGCTTCCTCGTGTTCCCGAGCAGGCAGCTACACCTGTACTGCGAGAATTTACATCGCCGTGCTCCGGGATGGCATTGATTTGGGACGGGTGAACTACAAACACAAACTAATTAAAAACTGCATAATGGCGCCCTACAGGAACACAGGAGAAAAACAAATAAATACAAGTGCAGCTGGCACGGCGATCGCACCTCTGCCCCCGCGCAACCGTCAGGTGACATCAAATTATAAACCCTGAAAACCCGCACACCACTGCCGTGGCTCATATTGGAGGCCTAACGGGAACAATCTGGTTAATTAAGGGGAGGTTTATAAAATATTTACGTGTGTGCGCACGCATGTAATTCACTTCCTCCGACACTCGGGGACGGCGACGTCGCGAAACTCCAGGCCGGGCCACTGTGGCCCATTTGTCTACCCTGGGAAACCCAGGCCGGTTGCGGAGGCTCCGGGCGCCGGACCGCGCTTCGCCCTCCCGCCCGCCGCGCTCCAGGGAGCCAAGCCCCCAGTACATCCAGACACTTGTTCTGCATGGCAGACCGTGCGGGGCACTGCCCTGAGCATGTCACCGTCCCGCGTCCTTTGCCTCTGGGCGTTTTGCTCCCCTGGTTTTCCTGGCGTCTCCTCCGCGGGCCCCCCTGGGCTACTTCTGCCCAGGCGCGCACGTCTCGCCGCGGGGTCTCCGCAGTCCCGCGCGCTCAGGACTTTAGCTGGGGGCTACTCCTGGCCAGGAGGCACCAGGGGGGTCCCCGGTTGGGCCCCAGCGTGGGTCTGAGCTTGCAGCGGCAGGCCCGGCAAACAGGGATCGGGGTCGAGAGGGCCGCGGCATCACAGTCGCCGGCCCGACCCACCTCCTGGCCTGGCGCCCATGGGCGCCCGGGTTACAGCTGGGAGCTCCGGAGAGGGTCTTAGCTGCCCGGGACTGCCGCTGTCGCCGAGCGGGGTGGCTTTCTGGCTGGATCTCGCTGGAGAAACTAAGTCTTAAATGAGTGTTTAATAAGACTCATAAATCAGGGTGCGAGCTTCGGGGCGGGTGGACGGGCCGTAGTCGCGAGGCGCGGACCAGGGTCAGGCCGCCCCGCCCTGCCACCGAGCTGCGGCCCAGCGCTGTAGCCCTGGCATCTGCAAAGTAAATAATGGCCATTTTGAAAGGCGGGCGATGAGGTCAAGGCGACGACGGCTGCGTCCCCGAGTCGGATCTGCGTCGCCCGGTTATCAGCGCCAAAGGCAGGTCTGTGATGGCTCCAGGGAGTGGGCTGTTTCCGCACGAGCTTCCTCCTCTTGTTCAGAGACCTAGGTCAGCAACGCTTCAAAATCGGTGGAGAATTATTTCAGAAGAAATGAAGTTGTAAATGAGGATGCCGTTTGGTTGGTTTAATCTCATCCTTATGTAAATATGCGGGGGGCAGGGGGAGGGAAGAGAGCTGGATGAACTTTTATCGAGGGGCTGGGGAAAGAAAAAGGACACGATATTTTTCAGATTGGTGATAACGATTCCCTCCTATTAGAAAACTAGTACAGCCCACCCCCAATAATGAAAAGGAGCGAGTAAACTTTCCATCGAGTTGGTTCAAACGCGCACCGTGCATCAGTACCTCCGTCCGCCGCCCCCCCCCCGC